ATTGTTGTTAATTTTGTATAAGAGTGAAGAACGCATTCACCACTCATTCCATTTTACTGTCTTTTGATTATTAAAGATTCCCATATGTGTTATCTTTTGATTGACATAATTCCGTACACTCTATAATCCTTGGCGAAACATTTGATCTTCTTAGTACTTATATTACCATATTTCTCACGTTAACGTTTATAAATATTCAGATAATTAATCTTACGATTTCAGTCGACTCACATACTGACTCAATTACAAATGGCGTATTGGTTGCTTCAACACTAAGCAACGTCAGCTAACAAACGTACTTTACTGACAATCCTGAATTTATTTCCAAATGTTTTAAAATGATATATTATTTGTTTTAACTAGTCACTTTATTATATTATATATAATATATATATATATATATATATATATATATATATATATATATATATAATATATATATATATTATATATAATATATATAACATTAATCGGTTCATGATCTCAATCAAAAACTTAATAATCTCCACAACCCCTATACTACCATTTTTTTATCTGAAGAGTCTATCATGACCTTAATGTTCGAGAGATTACTTTTCTTTTTGATTTTTACCCTATTTTATAGTTAGTGATTTTTCCTCACCTTCCTATTTGTTCTTTATAGTTTTTCACCTCAAGACTAGATCTGGTACATCCTAACCTTTTATACTAATTGTTCTGTCCGTTTTACCCGATTAGAGTGCATTGTTTTTAAGTTTACGTCGTGACCTAACTAACAACCCACATTTCACTATGATCATGCAGAACTTATGTAAGCGACCTGGGTGTAATTTCGTCATCACCTGTGATATGCTATGGGACAGATGCTAAGGTTGGTTTTGCGAAGCATGTACAGACCTTACAGAGACTGCATACGTCGGACTTAGTAAGTCAGATCGCACTTGGGTATGTGGCATATGAAACCTGAACGCTGAAGGTTTTTTGAGCGACATTACCGTCCTCCTGACAGGTCTTCAAAAATTAACCCTCCAGAAATCCTGAATAAAGGCCGTCCTGAAACGGATACACAAACAAAGACGGACAGTGAAATAAAGAGGAGGGTCCTCGACACCATTAGTATTGACAGAACACCCATTAACTTTAGTGAGGTTACGATAAAACACAGCACCATCATGACATCGATGGTGACTGACTCTCTCAACATACTTTTGTCTCAAACCATAGACTCTCCAAAAGCAACTGTGGACTACGAAAATTCTGCAGGCAACTAGATCCTCTTCAACCAGGTTAAAAAGGATCAAATATCATGATCAATAATGCCTAACCTCTCAGGTCTTGTAGTATACTCATTTAGTAAATCGCTAGTATATTCTGCCCTCAAGAATGTCCGACCAGTCAACAAAAGACACTGGGATCCTGGCCATAGTCTAACTATTAGACAAAATCAACTCAAAGCTCGTCATACTCAAAACCTGAGAAAACGATCATAATTCACGATGATTCTCCCAGAATCGTGAAACTTAAACAGAACTCTGAAATACCTCACAGTCTGTAGAAAAGTAACGTCAAGTTGTCTTGGGAAGAGTTAAACAGGAATCTTAAGCTTCTCAAAATTGAGCTGCTATCTGTTACACGTCTTCATTGGGGGGGATTAAACACCGAAATCTTCCCAAAGCCCCTCGTATAACACTCAGTAGCACTACTAACGTAGAGAATGTTCTGTTGATCAGTCGCTTAGTAAAACCAGAAGTGAATGTGAAGATACTACCTATTCTACCGTATTTTCATTGCGACCCCAACAGGGACAATTCAAAAGAATCGCGTGAGACGTTTTTCTGTGGAAAAAATACAATTGTGCAGGGTTTTCCAGAAAACGCGAACTCTGATTATACAGACTATAATATTTTGGAAAGGAAGATCATAAACAAGTCCTTTGAGCCTAATATATTTTTTCGCACCATCACTAAGTTTCCATGTTTCTTCCTGAACTGCATTTATGTTGTTTTACTTGATACATAGTCTTGGTGGCAGCCATATTGGTTTGTTCCTCCTTTTCATTGTTTTGCTTGTATTGACTGGAATTGCGTATTTTTGATTGTGGATTGGGGCACTCTCTCAGAATTGGAAACACTCTGTGTTATAAAGCAACCAAAATACTATCTTTTGAACGAATCTGGGCGTGGTTTATCCAGACAGGATAGAATAGAATTTGTTTGTTGTGACTAGTAATTTTCTCCCATCCTTTATCAACTTCCCTATTTATTGTAATTGAGATTTGAATAATTGAACAATTATTGGTTGGATAGCTAGGTGGTCATATTTGTTTAGGTAACATTTAAACTTATGATGAATTATAGAACCGTCATTTTACCCAAATACTTTTTTGTTTCAACTGGGCGAGAGCGCGTATCTAACCCACCTAGACAGCTATTCTTCAGTACAAACCTTAGTTTGGATCTTACAATACCTGATTCCGAATTATTAAGTATTCCATTGAAGGTGTAGTCATGTGACTTTAACGTTCCATTTACATGACTCTAATTTGACCGTATGCTGATGTTAACGAAATATACATGCCACCTACTCTCGTATGTAATTATCGGCTCAACTGACGTTGGCGAATAACGGAATAATTCAAACACGAGAGTTAATTTCGGATGGCCATATTTTATGTATTCCTGGCCCCAGATAGACAATAAGAAAATCGTAGCAGAGAAACACCAGAGAAAGTAGACATCCCAACTCGCTATACTACATAGTACAATCGTTAACATAGCTCAAAACAGACAATGCATAGTGTGAATAGTCGGTTATGGATAACCTAATGACTGACAAACGTATACGCGAGTACACATAAAGCACGTAAGCGTGGAATCACAAGGACATGAATATCGGATGTATATGGCCTGGAGGTTACTATTTCCTATGGAAATAGAATTATCATGATGGTGAAAACGACAAACTAGTTACATGCTATTTCCTGTCTAAAAGCTAGGAACAATCACACGTGTAGTCGTACTACACAGTAACTGGTAGCCAATGTGCCCAGTACATACATTATACGGATAGCTCAATGTGTCATACTGAAGAATGTTGCTGATTTTATTTGAGCTCATTGCACGTTTCTTATATGACGTTGTTGTGACCAGAGGTGTCCAAAAGCTGATACTGATACATAGAGTATACTACGTGCTAACCGCCGACTGACTACCTGAGCGGGAATACAGGAGTGGGCGAAAAAGTGTATTGAGCTACCAAATAAAATGCACATGTACTCGTTCAAATAAATACCACTTTAATCTTTCGTAAATTGATCCGTTTCTGAACCAATGAAATGCACCTATCATTTAGGTCACTTTTGATTGCCACCGGTTGACCTTCACACAAGGCTACTTGTGATTGGCTCTCCATATCAGACATCATTTAGTATCTGATCAGACAAACAACAACAATGAACTGAAATGAGTTCTCTCATAAATTTCTTAAATCCCATCCGTCCTTCTGACTAACGTTTGTAAATCTGGAACAACCAACAATTTGAAGTGAAAATAATACTTTAAAGGGAGTGGATTAAGTTTATCCCACTGCTTCTGACTGTTCTTCTATGTGGATTATTCTGCTGACAAATAATTTTTCATAGCATACTGTGAATATACAATATAAGCACAATATACTGCAAATTGGATACGGTATTGAATGTTCGTTTGTCATGAGGTATTCGGAAAAAAGTGATATTTTATGAGTGAGTTTAGTGAGAAAAACTAAAATAGTGTCTAAACGTCCTGCGATTTACTAGGAACAGATATCACTGTCACAAACCTGGAATTACTTATATGAAGGTGCAGATGATGTAGATGTCACTCGACAAAAAAGGTTGCAACGTTTTGAACAATCCATCTTAAATCGATGTTTGTATATATATATATATATATATATATATATATATATATATATATATATATATATATATATGATCGTAAGCAACTGATGAGAAGTTGCGAGATATAATAAATTCATACTATTCTGCACCGATGTTTTTTTCTGGCTTTATTCATATTCGTAAAGGGGAGCAATTACATGAAATTTCATCATTTGTATATTAATCATGTGGTTCTCATTATAATTGTTGGTGATTTGAATAATGCTTGAGATTTTCATGATCATGATCACCTTATGCACTTCGAAAACCATTAGTTTCATGTTATTTGCCTTGTGATTCATAAGAACTTTAGTGAACTTAGCTTTTACAACCTCTGCTCTTCAGCTTCGAAAATGATGGTAAGTTCATCACAAATAAATAGATAACTCATGATCGATTCTGATGCACGTTTCACGAATGGAGGGTTACGTCATAACATGATTTGTAGTTCTCAAACTTTTTCTGTGTTCTTATGTGAAAAGTACCATTTTTTTTTGATTGAGATCATGAACCGATTAATGTTAGACCATCACAATTGAAAACCTGGAAGCACTGGACGGCCGTTTCGTCCTATTGTGGGACTCCTCAGCAGTGCGCATCCACGATCCCGCGAGCGGGATTCGAACCCAGGGCCTTCGGTCTCGCGCGCGAACGCTTAACCAACTGGACCACTGAGCCGGCATCCAATGCTGATAGTTTCTTACATCAACCAATCCACGAAATTGCGCGACCAACTTCCATTGTACTGAGGTAGATACCTGTCTCTACCCGACAAGGATTAGCTCCACTGATCACGGCTTCTCACTAGAACTCCGAGAATTCCCTCACGAAGCTAGTCACTAGTGAGCACATGTTAATTACTAGTATAGGGGTTGTGGAGATTATTTTTCATTTGACAACATCTAATCCAAATGAAAACCATTTTCACCAACTGACATTTACTGTCTCTTAGCCCAGTTATGACTGTAAAAATATATTTGGAATAATGTCAGCAACTGGAATGTGAATATTTCTAACATATCGCCAAGAAAATTTATTCAACCTCCTTCAGAGAAATAATTAAAATACAGTTAGAGGTGATTTTCATTAGAAACCATTTAATAGAAGCATTTATTAATCGTTTAAAAGAACTTCAGAAACAAATTTTACACAGAAGTGAACCTAGACTGTATTGAACAGGCGGAAAAGCATATGTAATCCAATTAGAATTCCAAGTTTGATCAACTTACCATTTGACATAATCCTTTTCTACTGTATTAATCTCACCATATTTAAATAAATAAGTTAAAGATCAACATAACTTATTAAATAGAACATTTTTATTATTAATAAAATATTTATATATTTGTGATATCCCTGAAATCGGAATTTCTGAAGTTTTGAGACCCAAGTCAATTATTCCGAGCAAATATAGGTTAATAATATATGTAGTCTTCCAATAGCGCATGGTAATTTGATTCATTCATTTAAAATCTAACAAACTTGTGCTTCTGAATTTCAGATCATCAGCTATTTATGGGTTTCATTAAGAAATTATCGAAATAGAATAAAATTCTATGAGAAACTAAAGTATTTTGTCCCTAGATAGCTTCATCAAAGTAGGAGAAACATGTACTCACCGTTCAGAAAAAATACTGTGCTTAATCAACAAGTTATATGCGATATTGGCATCGAGGGTTTGTTTAAATTTTCAAATTGTTCAGTTTGCGTTACATAATGATCCTAGTTATAAAGCCATTGGTTACCAGACAGCACTAAGAAACTATTTCATCTTAGTTTAAAATAGCCCATCAAGATGAATTCATAAAACCAGCAGATAGTCAAACCCGGAGTCCTCATTTTCAATGGTGAGTGCTTGGTATTTAGATCAGTTGATATCCAACGGTGCACATTATTAACTTCAGTCAATTCGAGATACTGTTTAACCATCAGCCAGTGAAGCAGGTGGGTAACCATCTCATTCTTGAAATTATACATGAATTTGATATGAGATTACAGAAGCTGAAAACTCAAACAAACCGAAAAACTGTTTTATTCTAGTTTACAATAAAAGCCGCTAGGAAATTGAGTCAAAGCCTTTTATGTCACATAGTTCAAACACTAATCTCTAAGACCAATGAGTGTAAAATTTAATGGTCTATTTGCTCCAACCTACAATTTTTCCTGGGTTTTAACAAGCAATAAAAGTTTTTTCCTTTAAATTGAACAAACGTTTTGCTGACCATTTATATGGATTAAATACAAACTATTTTTAATAAAATTCAATGTATTTTTTTTTTAAATTATTGGGAAAAAAAGGATAGATTTGTTGGATTATAAACGTACTTACATATACTTGAAACGATAAACCATAAGTGAAGTAATAGCAGTTTAAATTCTTGAAAGTGTTCAAAATGACATTAAATTATACACAACAAACTGTATTTAATTCTGTTAGTTTTTCCAAAGAAATTTGGCAGAAATTACATCACATCGTAACAAAATTTGAGATCTTTGTGAATAAGTATGTGTAAATTATAGAAAATTAGATAAAAATGGATTAATAATATGAAATTAGCCAATATGGATAATTGATAGGTAACATAAAACATTGAAGTTTAGTGCTCACGTTTCTTCAAATAATACAGAGTAAACAGATAAGTGCACTTATACACTAACCAGTACTAATGTTCTCATTAAATAGTGATATAAAACTTAATAGGATGATCAACACTAACTGACAAATAAAGTACACTTGAATGGTAATTCTTGGACTACATTATAAGTCAACATTCAAATTGATATAATTTTCAATAATGACATATTATCAGGCAACTCTTTGCCCAAGACAGAGTTGGATGGAGAATGTTGGTGAGCGGACTATACCTCTTCATGAGGAGTAACAGGCGTAAGTATGTAAACAATTAGACAACTCTAGGTTCCTTGAACATTTTACACCAACTTATGCATTTAAACTTTTATTTTACAAATATATATATTCTTATTTAACGAAATGGTACGGAAATATTGATTAGATTAGTTATGACTGTAAAAACAAAAAAAGGATTTATTCGTCAACAACAACAAAAAAACTGACGTAAAATCTAATTAGTTATTCACATTACGATTATGAAAGATATAGAATTTACAAAAAAATTTTTTTACAAATTAATCATTTCAAAAACATTATTGTGATTATCTTTGGACATGGCATTTATATCTCCTTCGGCAATATAAACTGCATGTGTTCTATCTTGACGATAAGAATTTAATTCATCCGGATTATATGATTCATGAACAATTGTTTGGGCTGGAATATAATAAGATGATGTTAGTTGACCACCATGTAAACTGTATACTGATTCACTCAAATCTTCACAATTATTTTTAAAATCATCAAAAATAAATTCATTATTTTTAGTTCTATTTGAATAGGCAAATGTTTGACGTTTACATTCTTCAGAATCACTAACGCTACCATTTGTATACTGTCTGAAATCGGAATTCATTCGTTTACGTGGTAGTTCTGCTTTTTTTGATCGTCGTCTTATTAAACTTGCTAAACGATTGCGTTTATGAATACAGAAATCTGTTTCATTCCATCCAGCCTATTTAGGGAAATACAATAAACAAGTGACTCATCATAAAAATAAGCTATAATTAATGATTTATAAACAAATTAATAGTTTACAAAGTATCGAGTATGTTAAAGAAACCCATTTTTAATTGTTCACTTGATAAAGCCAAATAGTCGACAGTTATTTTGATTTTAACGTGTATTTGTTTACGCATAATAACATATAAATGATGATTATGTGTTCACGAAGTACATTCAGTCATAGCTTGCTGATAAAAAAAGCCAAACTCAATAGGAGCTTCATAGGTTTATCCTATATTTACTTAATTTTCAAAGCTGAAATTCCTGAATGTGTCATGTTCTATATTATAGTCCTTTCTAATTCTGAATTATTTAAGTGAATCAATATGAATCAGTGTACTATAATGTCGTGTTTATAATTGACAGATTTAGCTTTTTAAACGTTGTTTTACATAGTTACAAAAATTGGTCTCTAATTCCTTTTCATACTGATGTATCTTTCACTCTGACAAATCTCAATTTGATTTTTTAATCTTGTCTAGATTAAATAGTTCGTCTAGAGTTTGATGGTTCCTAAGATGTTTTTCATTACACAATTTGCACATTATTAATCGAATACCCAAAAAATGTAACGAGACTGGTTGTCAAACGAACTCACTAATGTCTTAACTCTATCATATGCTGACTAAAATTAAAACACAAAATAGATGGATATATTGTACAATTCTGAACTGTTCTTGGTAAAGTTTCATTCCCTGAACAGGATATTTTTTGTCGTGGAGCTTTCATTATTCTTCTAAACAACATTATAAGCACAAGCTTCGGATAGACGTGGAACCACAGCTTGTCCGCAACCAAGCCATCCAATTCAAACAATCAAACTCTACCAAAATCATTTACATGATCTATAAATCTTTTCCATCATCTAAAATGTTTATACCTTTTAAGTCAAATCAACAAATTTGTTCTTAGTCATATATTGATATATTCATTCATAAATTGATTAAAATGTTGAATGAAGAGTAAGTTTCACAGTTTTGTTTCATATATATATATATATATATATAAATACCGTATAGATATTTTGTTAACATATTACTTAACGTGTTTTATTATTAAGCATTAAAAAGTATGAATATTTAAAATTACTAAAAGAGTATTTCATGTAAGTGATAAATGAGAAAATCCCGATATTTTAGTTTTAAAATAATTAATAACTAATTTGTTTAATGGAGCCAGGATGCTTTGATAAATACATAATCTTTACAAAAAAATAATGGAATGATTATCAACATGGATTTTGAAACATTTAGCATTACAAACATTAACATGTTACATTTTGAATAGTGATAATCAGTAGTATGAAACACATACATTTCATTTAATGAATGTAAATGCATCCAAGTTTTAATCATCCCATTATAACTTAACTTTAGTTTTAATCACTTAAACACTCAATATTTTGTTTATTGTTAGCTCCTATTTTAAAAAATATTCAATAAAGTTGTACTCATTTAAACCATAGTAACAAAGTAATAACAGAGGAACTAGAATTAAGATCAATGTATTATATTATTGTTGACAAGTTATTGACCATGTTATCTTTCATAGTAACTACAAGACTGATTAAATATTTAATGTACCATTTCATTTTACTAAATAATTTAATTCATGATAAAGTTATTTTGTTTCTAAGTTATTTATTACTTTCATTATTAACTAGATTGTCCGAAACTGGATTAATCTGAATGTATGTAAAATATCATCATATTTACCACGACAACAACTACAACAGCGACACCAACAAGAAAAGAACACTTTTTGCCAATCTCTTTTCAAAACTATAAGCTACTTATTTTTTAACTGTTTTCTTTTTCTTCACATACAAGTCAATTAGGTTTTTTTTGTTCTTAGTATTTAAAAAACATGATCATCTATTTAATAGAGTTTATATTCATTGATATCCATTGATAGTTAAAATCATGAAAAGAAACACTAGAAAACCTTCCTTTAAGTGAAATATCATAAAATTCATATGGAATTTTAATGAGAATCGTCTTGCATGAGCACTATAGAGCAATGATAAATATTTCCTTCAAAAAAAGCTTATTATTATTATAGAAACAAATACAAAAAGAGGAATTATTCCTGTCATTGTATATTTTGTCTTTTTTTTTAATCTAAATGGATGAGTTACTGAAAAAAGAAATGATACACATCACTATAATATCTATTTACATTCTGCAGTTTGAAGAGAACAAAAAATGAATTGTAGCATTATTAATTGCATGTGTTAATCAATGTACAAATTGTATGTCATAGAAATATAATTGAGTATATTTTTTATACAATTAGTTCTTTTTATGAATTTGAATGATAATAATATGAATTCATTATATTTTGTCATTTTTAATCAGCTGCCCCCAACCAAATATATATTAAAGTTTACATTGAGGTATGATGTAGTGTGAAATAATTAACATAGATAAGTGAAAAGCATTGTAATGACAAAGATTATCAATAATAACTATATGTACATGCAAAAAAAGGTCGGAGGTTGTTTGGTGGTAGAGTCCAAAAACTAAGAGGTGGGTGATGTAATAATTGAGGTTCAGAGACAGATATGATAAATCATGTGATGATTTTAGAGGTAATGATGGGTTTACACGAGATTATTAGAATTAAAAAACTGATAAGATAGGTTACGCCATAATTGAACAAGATTTAAAGAGCTTACATAAATTAAGATAACCAAGTGAATGGAAATATATTAGTGAAGAAATGGTTTTAATATACTCAAAATAACAATTCGGTAAGGGAAGACCACATAACAAAATAAATCAGGTTTGACTTTTTTGTCGTAATTTCTTCAGTAAACAGAAGAGAAGTTGTGTTTCCTTGTCTGCTAACATATATATTGACAGAGGATTTCATCAGGGATCTACAGATCAACGATTATATTTATATGGAGAAACTGATAAGCTCTAATTGTTATTCCTTAATAATGTAGTATTATTCACAACCCTCAGAGGAATCATGCCTGCAGTACAACTTACTCTAGGAATCATAAACAGTTCCGTTTTTTTTTAATTTTTTTATTTCCCTACTGGTCATCATTGAAGTTGATTAGTTACGTGACAGCTAAAATTAATCGACTTAATATGAAAATGTGCGTGCGCCCTTAGTTATTCTAGTATTTATTCGCAGTTTTTATATTTAAATAAGTGTGACGTAACAATCTACTACAATATTTCATGCTTTCAGTTTTACTAATTTTGTATCATCATATTACCATTATATCGCGTGTTTTTAGAAAACAAAAATTTCGAATACGATATTTTGTAAAGTACATTACACCATAAAGAAGTGCTTTATTTCGCAAATAACAGGGAGTAGTACTAAAACATTAAAAGTAGACGTTAGTGACTTGGTACAGTAAATATTAAATGCGTTTAGAAAAACAGAAATAAACACTTTTGTTCTAGAAGAATAGTTAACAATTTGCTCAACAAAATATCAAAATACTGTTCGACATGCATCAGGAGTGAGTATGAATTCGTCAATGACTACGCTACTGGTCATTTAAAGAGAAGTTATATATATTTACTATCTATTTATTAGTTGTTATACTGTTTTATTTGGAAATATTTCTACATATTGTTCAGTGACCGTATTCGAATTTATCAAAAAAACTAAATAATGGAAAAACAATTACAATAATACACATCCATTCAATAATTTTTACTCATGAATAAACAGATTTCAATCAATGCAAATATTCTAAGCATTGAATCTATCGATTCAGAACATTAAGTCATAAAAAATGTTTGAACTAGATATTGAGTGAAAAAAGGTGAGAGCATAAGCAAACACTGTATTAGATGATCGTATCTTAGTAATAAATAAAAGGCATGAAATGTTTTATCACTCTCTTTTCACCGAACCAAACTCACGGAAATACGTATACTGAGGTAATCCACACAAGATGCACATATTTCAACAAAAGATTGACCAAAATTCAGTTCAGAATATCACCAACCGGATAATTAAAAACCTTAATCATAATGATAGAAATATCATACAAGTTAAGCAAGTCGGTGGCTGTTCAAACTAGGTAATTCAGTGAATGGTGGGTTGACAAAAAGTACTGGGTTCAAATCTCAGTGTGAACATCAATACTGAACTGTAGGCAAATTTAAATGACGAGTCCCAGTTAAGATAGTGTGGTGTCCGGAATTCCGTTATTAACCACAATCCATCAATTCTATAGTTATTTGAACTAATAAAATTCACTTAAAATATATCTCTAAAAGTAAATCAAAACAAAATCTATTCGAATATGATATATTAGAACTATTGGTTTCTTGTCTAATAAAATAAACAGAAAATAATCGGAATCAATACCAAAAATGAAGGATAAACAGTAAGGAAATAGTATTATTACATTCAGAAATCTTAGAAACAATCTATTCGTTAAAACAAACATACAGCAACTAATTTTTAGTCATCATGGAGTGATATAGAAAAACCGTAATTTATATTCGGATGTAAAGCCTAATGCCATATATAAACAACATACAAGTTTTATATTTTTGTTAAAAACAACTGAATATATCTTTGGTGGTTGAAATAAAAAAATTTAACCGAGAACCACTTAAATAAATAATATATAAATAAACCGTTACAGATGTAAAACGGTTCGTAGTTATTGTAATTCTGTATAGACCAACGTTAGGCTAGATAAATACAAGTGTCAAAATATCTGTTAGCAGTATGAATTTTATACTGACGTATGAGTGGCACTCACTGGAACTATAGATTTAATTAAAAATCAGATACCACTGAACAACTTATAACTTGGGCATAAAGTAGTTGAAGACACATGGTTAAAAACCCTAAACTTGGGTTTCATTTAGTAAAATGTATCTGCAATCCTGAGATAATGATTCTGGTAGGATTTGAACTAACACAGAACCTATGTCTTCAGTTTCCACCTGGCCAACTCTGATT